CCCCCCGCCCCCAGCTCCAAAGATGGCGAGAATCGTGACACGATAAAAAAAAACAAAAAACCCCAAGGGCCTCGGTGTAAATGTGAGCTCTGAAAATATCAGCGTGTGAAAAGGCCACGTTAATCCTGAGAGATTTACACAGACTTCTGCTCACAAACCTGGTGGTTTTTAGTTGAAGTCAGACTCGTCTCTGTCAGTGAAACACATAGCTCACTTCACTTCCTGTTAATGGTTGGACTGACTTCCTGCTGGTGCGAGCTGTGTAGCAGCAGACATTCACCACAAGAGAAGAGATGCGGTCCACAACGAGAGTCGTTGCAGAAGGTTCGACGCTCGGGTTCTCAACATGTCGCTGCTTTGAGTAGCTCTAACTTCACTTCTCTCCTCAGTGTCTTCAACCGTCCATCCGAGAATCCAACCGTCCATCCAACAGACGACTATAATACTACAATAAATACTAGAACAAATATGTGGTTATTAACCACATTATTACTAGAACAGTGTGTGTGGGGTTTTTTTTTTTTTTGGATCTTGGGTCATCATTGATGAGGTAAAGAGACCAATGTGGCCCAAGTGTATTTTTAATGCCTCACTGGCCACAAACACTAACAAACCACAAGTGCCACGGACAGAAGTTGCAATTGTTGTGATGAAAACATAATCAAAATAAAAACAAAAAACTTACAGGGCAAAGGTCACGCTCTTTATTATAACAGGACAGGGACTTTGTTTTCTTTTCACCAGGATGTAATAAAGAAGCAAACTTTCAAAATTAAATCACAAATTTCTGTTTTTTGAATTATTGACATAAATATATTTTTTTACATCTTGGTGGTGTAATGTATTTTAAAATAAAAAACAAATAATAACGCAACACCAACATACACTGATGGGAAGATTTTTTTTTTCTTATGACATATATGTACGGTGCAATGTGATTTGGGTGGCCTTATGACATATATGAATGCATCCTATTGGCGTAAATAATACATCGAATTATTTTAGAATTATTCTGATTAAAGTGTACACCCTGTTTATAAATCTATCCCCCTATGAATGCAAACCAAGAAGTAAATCATTGGTGACAAATATTCTCAAACCCCGTTCCTATTGGCGTAAATAATAAATTAAATTCTTATATTATTAAAAATATTCTGATTAAAGTGTACACCCTGTTTATAAAATGTCTCCCATTTTTGGGGCTAGCTGGCCGGCACCGCGAAACCGTAGTGTCGCGCGTATCGTTGAAGGATCATTACAGATTTAACAGATTGTTAATGATCGGTAAATTTTCAAAATAAAACACCTGTTAGTCTTTATTCTGTTCGTATCGGAGTCTGGAAGACGTTTTATTTTGAAAAACTGCCGGATTAACTTTAAATGAAAAAAAGTAAAGAGAAACACGACCGTATTGTATCTAAATAAAGTAAATAAAGAATTGTTTTCAGCGGCCCGGTACCAATTGACCCTCAGACCGGGGCCCTAACACAGAAGACGGTCGTCAGTGTCCTTTTCTTTGTTTGTTTTATCCATTAGCCTGAAGTTGAGTAAATTTGATCCCTGTTTTTGTTACTAATCAAACGCCAGTTTGGCCTCCTTCACGATGTAGCATGTATGCTAAGACGATGCTACCGTCGTCTTAGCATTCATGCTAAGTGTGTTAAATGTGATTTAACTCATTTAACTGTAGTGAAACAGACAACGGAGGATATTAACTTCATATTCTACATTTTTGCAACTTCTCTTCCACTTTTCCCGCCATCAATTGAAAAAAAAACACCTTACAATATTAACAGAGTAATTCTAGTTTAACTAGTTTGTCACTCTAAAAAAGTTTACCGTGCGTTTGGTGCACTTATTTTGAAAAGCCAGTGTAAACTGGTATTTCCTGTACCTGCTCTTGGTCACTTCCCCCTGGCTGCTGTCCAAAACCCAAACAGATCAGACGAACCGAGGTTTACATGGAGCCAACGTACAGACCGTCTCATGGTTCTGGTACCAGACCCCAGTTCATGGAGCCACAACTTTGACATCACACAATGAGCAACAAGGTAAAAACCCAGCTTTGAAAACGTCTCTTGGCAAAATTAGTTTTTAATATTAGTTTATTGTGTATTTATCTGGTTCTTTCACTGTGAATTGATCAAACACACAGAAGGGTTTCTGATGAAGAACCGGTTCATGTTGCGCTGCATGTGTATTAATATATTAATATAATTTTTATAAAATTATTTTTAAAAATGTTATCTTTCCCTGCATGTTTCTCACTAAATTAGGGTATTTAGAGAACATTTTTAGAAATTTTTTTTTTTAGTTGTTATTAATCTATGGACTGACTGGAAATGTTCTGCTATTGTAGTGTCATGACGAATATGATTCTGGTTCTGGTTCTGAACCCAGTAAATGGGTCTGATTGACAGCTGTCAATAATCCTTCAGTCTTGGAGCACTAAATTTTATGCTTCTCAAACGAAGCATTTTTTCTTTTTCCACTCGTACATTCACGACCCTCTCATAATAGCCATGCGACCAACTTTGGGGTCACGACCCACCTCATGCTGTGTTTGAAGGTGAACCAGTCCCAGATGTTAAGAAACCAGGCCAGAGCAGTGAACAACCTCACGACTCCAGCGTCACCGTCGGCTCTCCGTACCGAACCGTACTGGAACGTTTACGTCGTTGGTTCCCACGTCAGGAAAAGGTGGCGCCCTGACCCCCTTAGACCCCGGGCCCTGTAACGTTCTCTTCTGCTCACACACAGCTGCAGAACCAGCACCTGTTAGAGATCTGCAACGACAGGAAACTCTCTGCGCTCCTCAAATCATCTAACGTCTGTGTGTGTGTGTGTGTGTGTTTGTGTGTGTGTGTGTTGGATACACATCATCACACTCTGTGGTGGGGTTAGTTATATGAAGAGAAGCGGATGATGACATCTTCACAGCCGAGCTCCAGCGGTGTGAAACTCATGTAGAGACGAAAAGATTGTTATAAAACAAACATGAACATTTGATCCTGAAGGTTTAATGGCGACACCTGAGTTCTGACTTTTTTTTTTTTTTTGGATGCTCGAAGACACAGTTCACATTTTGTGAGGTGAGTTTCAAACTCTTTCAAAGACTTTCAGTAAATGTATATACATATATGTGTGTTTGTGTGTTTGTGTGTGTGTGTGTGTTTGTGTGTGTGGTTTATGTGTAAAGTCTTCATTTCCTTGTTTTTCGCGTTCTGTGTAATTAAATAAGTAAGAGAAATTTTTTTTATGTTCAACTGATTTTAACATATATATTTAAGAGGTATTAAAAGGTTGGATATAGAATATTTAATACAGTATCATTTTGGTGCCACATGTCAGGGTTACGGTTGTTAACGTTTGGTAATGTGAAAAAAAAAGAAAAGCTCATCGACTTAGTGATGTTTCACCGGAACGTCACTAAGTCGATGAATAAAAATCCGATATTTTTGCTGTGGGCTGTGGGTCATAAAAAGCAGAGGGGAGACCCTGAGTGGAAAATGCTGACTTTGTTTGTGTGAGTCCCAGAGTGAGGTCTTGTAGGCGTCGGAGGGCAGATAATAAAAGAAGAAGACTTCTTCATATCCCTGGGACTCATTTCCCGGGGTCTGTCTTGTCGCCGGGTCAGGCCTCCCTGGATTTTTCTCACGGCTCTGGGACTCATGGGACAGAGGACTGCTGTGATTGGCCCACTGACCCTGTTCCACCAGAGGTCTGGCAGCGGCCGGGTGAGCCTGAGCGGTCGCTGTGTGCAGATTATTCCAGATTAGTGTTTGTTCTGTTTTGTAGAAGTAGAGCTTTAAGATCGCTTCACACAACTGGGTCACCAGGAGTTCTGTTGACGACGGCGTTGTGATAATTCAGATCGCGTTTCCGCAATGTGTACATGTTTCTGACTAATCAGAATCTCTAATGACCCGCGCGCCACCGCCATCACCGCCACTTCACTGTCACTGTCACGTCAGCGAAAAAGGCCACCGCCATCACTGTCACTGTCACGTCAGCGAAAAAATAAACAAACGCCTAAATATAAAGCTACAAAATTAAATTTTCATCAATGAATTCTCGTGTTGGGCCAGATGTGGGCTTTCTTTGGGCTGGAAAAGGCCCCCGAGCCGGGAGTTTGAGCCTACGGCTCCACAACGAAAGAATATGGAGAATTCTTGTTCATTTCTTCCTTGTTCAACTTTTTGCCTCCATTTTGGGGCCGGGTCCTCGGCTACATCCGATAACGGCAGTTTTTTCGGAAACAAAATATGTATGCCTTTTAAGTTCGTCCTTCAAGAATTCAAAACTTTACAGAGTATTTTGTGGATATCTGGGTGAAATACTGTACAGCCTACTTTGATATGTAGTATTTGAGAACACAATATGTGGCACAGTTACCTTGTTGTGGATTACACGACTTCCTTAACAGTCGCGCAAAGTGTATTTGCGAAGCGATTTGTCGTAATAAAGACGGATTCCAACTTTTTTTTGCAGAAACCATGGGCTGTAGCTGCAGTTCAGATTATTCAGACACGGACTGGATCGAGAACCTCGATGAAATCTGTGAACATTGCAACTGTCCGATACCCCCGCAGTCCTGCAATCAAGTAGGAGTCCATTCAAGTCGCTCTGTGTCCACATGATACTTCACCGACTACATTTGTCGTGAATGTGTGAAGTATTTCTGTGTAAATCTGGATTTCATTTTGAAAATGTTTTTTTTTTGTTTTTCCCTGTCTCCAGTACATCGATCAGCTGATTCCTTACCCATCACAGCATTCGCCTCCTACATCACCGTTACCAGGTAATAAAACATCTACGGTGTGTTTATTTATTTTTGCATGAATCTTCCAATTAATATTTTATTAACATATAAACATTGTACTTCATAACAAAGTATATTTCACAACTTCACAAAACGACGACTGATGTGAGGTGAAGCCAGAATATTTCATCCAAATTCCTTAATGTTGTACACTACATTTTCAGCGAAAATATATATAAAATATATATGGAAAACTGTGAATACAGAGAGGTAAAACTGTGTAAGGCATTGAAGGTGTAATATTTGTTTTAATGCTAAAATTTAACACAATATCTAATACAGAAAAATACGTTTAAATCAGGGTTAAATCTCTATGCAGATGACAAAACAATTTATATTTAGTTAAATTGACATTTCATATCTTTAACACGTTGTATTCTTGAACCACGAAGTCAATGTTTTTACACGACAACGATCACTATCATATTTTACTCATTTTTTAAGGATTTTTTTTATTTTCTTGGGTGTCTGATAATGTGTAGGTAACCTCTGAAGAATTTAGTTTTTGGAGATTTTTGCGAACACACGACTCTGATTGTCAGAATACCAAGGGTTGATGCATAAAAAACACAAATAAGAAGTAAGATAACGAAAAAAAAAACCACCAAAAAAATAATAAAACCCTTTTTTTCTCAAAACTGTTCATGGTGAGAAGATTTTCCGGTGCTGTTGCTTCAGGGGCTTCACATCCCCCATGCCCCATATCATCTTCCTGTACTTGCGGCATCATATTTCTGTTTTGAAGTAAACGCACCTCATTGTGAGCTGCAGATCTTTTCAGTTCCTTTTGGTTTCAAACTCTTCTCAGAAGAAGAAGGAGGATGTGAGCCCAGCAGCATGATCGGGACGCAAAAAAAAGTCAAATGAGGATTCGAGTTTTCCACATGTGAATGTTAGAGCGTGTAGAGTCAACAGGTGCCGTCAGTCTTCCCACTGTTCATGTCCAACTCTGTTTCCCACAGACAACCTGGTGGTGGCCATATACAGCTATGAACCCAAACATGACGGCGACCTGGGCTTTGAAAAGGGAGACAAACTCAAAATCCTCAACCAGTAAGAAATGAACCGACTGTTTGTGATGCTTTAGTTCCAGTCAGCAAATCAGATGACAGGATCTCACTTCCTTTAAACGTTTCAATGTATATGCAGATGATACTGATGTTTCCCATCGTTAGAAAATCAACTCTGGTCATGAGAACGGTTCACAGCAGAAGTACAGCTCGATGTTGTTCTTGTCTCAGGTTTCCTGTCTGACTCTATTGTCAATGTATGTTGAAAAACAAAACAAAAAACAGCACATTTACGGAAAAACACAAAGTCAGAATTGACTTTTTTAAGGTCGTGTGTTTTTTTTTATTGTTCTTAAAAATGTAAACGTGGTCTCTAAACTATATGCGGCGTGAAATGTTTTAAATACACAACCCACATTTACCCTACTGAGGTAAAAATGCCATTTTATGGGACTGCGATACATTTCATGCGAATGATCTCATTTAATGCTATAAAAAAATCAATAATAATATTGATACTAATAACGCACTCTTTAAATCCTGCCTCAAAATATTTTTATATAAAATTGGACTCTTTTCCCATATTTTATTATTATTTATTTTTATATTTGTCCACGCAAAGTGAAATCACATTTGGAAAAAAATAAATAAAAAATTCAAAAATTGTATCAAAGTAAAATAACTCAAGCCACAGGCCTAAAAAAATGGGAATATTTGTTTGTAAAAAACAAAAACAATTTAATGTGATTCCATGTTCAGACAGCCCTGACAAAAAAATCAAAAAGAATTGAATGTGATTCCATGTTCAGACAGCCCTGAAGACAACGAGTGTTTTTACCCTGGTTGGTGCTGGTTCTGGTCTCCACGTCCAGAACCAGCACCAACCACATGCATCACATTTTCTTTGAAGTGACTTCATGCATGAATCACAAAAGTCTATTTTTGCCTCCGCTGTCGGTTCAAGCAGTGAGTTGAACGTCAGTCCTGTTCTCAGTGTCATCAGAGTTTTGTTTTAGCTCTAAATACAGGATTACAAGAAAATACTTTGACAAAAAATAGCAAAACTGAAACACTGATCTCAGTCGTTTATTTTTATTCTTTCTGCTGTCTGGTAACTTTGGTGACAAGCAGAACAAAACAGCGTCATCGTCGGCATAAACGTTGACTTTCTAGTTACACGTACAAAATGTAAATATACTTCACATATACATGACATGTCTAAATACTTTGATCGAAGTCATGTAACTGTAGGCCTTCAGTACTTGGTCAATACTTCAGTCCCAAAGATTAGCATCTAAAAATAATAATTTCATCTATATTTCTAAAAAAAAATTTAAATTTTTATTTTTTTGTGGTGAGATAGCACTTAAACTTTGACCAAAATGTGGCTCCGACACCGTGTCGGGGTGTTTCCTCTGTCTACCGTGTGGAAATGTAGGTCAACATATTTGACCTTTTCTCACCTGTGAAGATCCTGGACTGATCTCAGATCTGTGACGTGCTCGTGGTGTTTTCTCTGCTCTTTTCACACATGCACGCAGGGACGAACCAGAGTGGTATTTGGCCGAGTCGCTCACCACGGGCCAGCAGGGCTACATCCCATACAACTTTGTTGCTATGACCAAAATGGAGACTGAACCGTACGTCAAACAGGAAACATAAAAAATATAAATGTCTCGACACCTTCTCATCTCAGACTGACTGTGTGTCCCTGGGAAAAGGAAGTGATAAAGTCAACGTGTGTGTGTGTGTGTGCTGCAGGTGGTTCTTCAAGACCCTCTCTAGAAATGACGCCATGAGGTTGCTCCTGGCTCCTGGGAATGCACAAGGCTCGTTCCTGATCCGAGAGAGTGAAACCAACCCAGGTGAAGGGCCGCGCCGTCATCCGAGCGCTAACTCCTGCACGAATGCTAACGTCTGCAGGTTTCTCCCCCAGTGGAAACTGTGGGTGTAATACATGGGTGTAAAAACCACAAGAGTGAGATCATGCTCCCTCAGGCTTCCTGGCAGTGGTTCAAAAAACACTTTTCCCAAAACTCTCCTTCCTGTCTCCCATCATGCTTTGGGTATTAGATTTTGGTTTTGTTTTGTTTTTTTCAACCTCAGACACAAAAAAAAGAAAAAATGCTGATCTGAATATATCCAACACTTTCAGGAAAGAAGTAAATGCTGATCTCACTAAATATATCCAACACTTTCAGGAAAGAAGTACGGTTTCACAGTGTAGCGGTTAGCACGTCTGCATGGCAAGAAGAGAGTCCTGGGTTTGATTCCCAGAGGAGCCACATATTTCTTATGGCGCCCCCTGTGGCAGCATGTGTCCATTGCAAAAACTCCCTGAAAATCTCCCCATTCTGGGATGAAAAGGCCACTCAGTTATTATTATTGTGGTAATGTAGGCCTGCGAAAAGGCCACTCAGTTATTATTATTATTGTGGTAATGTAGGCCTGTTAGCATGCAGTCATTAGCACGCTAACAAGCTTAACTGACATTTGAAGATTTAAAGGAGCTATCCGTGCAATTTAGTGTCATTTTATTTATATTTTCCATTTATGACAATTTTCTTTTGGAACAAACATTAAAAATAAAGACTTTTTTTTGGTTTTTTTATGTGATCACTTGACTTTAGCCTCTTAAATCAAAGTTAAATCTTTGTGACAAACGGATCTTTGTTTTCAGCCTTTGACCCAAAGAAACTTTTAGTAAGGCTGAGACTCCTCTGCTGCAGGTTCATATGCCTTATCGATAAGGGACCTGGACTACAACACAGGTGAAGGGGTCAAGCACTACAGGATCCGTAACATGGACAACGGCGGCTTCTACATCACGGCCAAGATTTCCTTCAACTCTCTGAAGGAGCTGGTGCAGTATCACAGCCGTGAGTTCACAGACTCCTGAGGTTCTTTGAACAGTAACAGTGACTGGACGTGACCTCACTGGTCTCTCTCCCCTCTCTCTCTCCTCCCTCCGCCGCAGGTGAAGCCGATGGGTTGTGCACGAAGCTGGTGAAGCCCTGCCAGTCGAGGGCACCGCAGAAGCCCTGGTGGCAGGACGAGTGGGAGATTCCCCGCGAGTCCCTGAAACTGGAGCGCAAACTGGGAGCAGGGCAGTTTGGAGAAGTGTGGATGGGTGAGTGACGGGGGAGTTAAAGGATACAGGAGGGATGAAGGATCGGGGGAAAAAAAATGGTGATATGAATTAATAAGGGTTGTGAAGAAAGTGGATGTAGATGTAACGATGCGTTGAGAATCGATTTAAAATCGATACAAATGTGTGACAATTCTCATTGTTTGTAATTAATTGCGCATCAAGTTGTAAGGAGTAGTATCTCAAAAAGTCACTGGTCATACCATGACACTACACACTCCAGTACACTAGGTGGCAGTATGCTCATAAAACCGTTGGTTGTGACCCACTATCAAACCCAGATGTCAGGTCTCTACGTAGGCTGAGAGACGTTCATGTGTTGGAACAGAACGTGGGCAGAACTTGTTCCACAGACACCAACAGTGTTCTCCAGTGGAACTCTTTCCACTTCCTGTTTTTTCTGTCAGTTGATGAGGTTCACAGACCATGTCAGTTGATGAGGTTCACAGACCATTTCAGTTGATGAGGTTCACAGACCAATGTCAGATCAGGATTTGGTCACAGTTTGATTGGAGATCATTTGGTTTTAAAAAAAAAAATTCTGTGATAAAATCATGAATCATCTCGTATCGTGACTTCAGCGTTGATTCATCGCAGGGTGATTTCAGGTGGATGACTGGACACTGCAGGGTGTGGGTGATCAACAGGTCACTCTACATAAATATGTCTTTGCACAGTGTGAATGGTGTGAACGGTTTCCCCCGTGAACGATGCTTCACCATCAATGGCTGGTGTGTCTGTGTCTGTGCAGGGATAAGTGGTTGGAGGAGAAAACCCAAAGGTTTGATC